CCCCAAAACCCCAAAACCCCAAAACCCCTGAGTTGCTTGTTTATATTGAAAGCTTTTAAATATTCTACATCTCAGATCCAGCAGCATGTCTACATAATCCTCATCCCAGAGCAAATTCTTCGCCATTATCAGGGTGTTCTACTTTAATTCCTCATTTATCTTTCCCTGGACATTTAGTGATTTTATTTCTGCCTGCTATTCGATGACAAGGATCTCAAAAGTGAGTGGTTCCAAAACAGAACCATTGCGAGATTGTTCAACAATATCTGCATTTAAACTCAATATACTCTTTACCATGTATACTACAATCAGTTTTGCCTGCGAGACCTTCAGAGGAACATTTTCCACATACGAGCTCTTCAGCGTTAAAATTGCCCTCTGCTTGAGCCATATTTCCTCATTCTTTGAGGCCTCCATAGTAGGGGTTTTCTCATTGATGACAAGTATAATAGCTCATTCGTTCCATTGCGTATCTCTCTAGGTCATTATAGTACTCATCCTTTTTGTTCTTCAATCTCGGATCTTTGTCAATTCCTTCAACTTTTGCTCTTTCGACAGCAAGTTTTATAATTTCTTCCTCTAGTTCACAAGCTTCTTCCAGAAGTTCAGAAATTTGTGGATGATTGTATGCATCTATTTCAGCCTTACAGCTTGGACACTTCTTGAAGAGGAAGGTAATCCTTGGCCCTGCCCACTTATTTTGTATAATTTCAGTGATTCAATCAACATGAAAGATATGCTTTCATCCAAGCTGGATTCATGGTTTCTCACCCAAACCAGAGATATATCAAATTGTTCAGAAAGTGTCATCGTTCTGGTCTAGAGTTGGGCGATGGTTTTCTTCAACGCAATCTGGATGTAATCACGATAAACAATCTTCTTCGCCTGCAAATCCTTTGCAAGGATGTCCACAGTCATGTATCTTATCTCAGCACGCATTAATTTGATCTATTCATTCCTGGTTATCTCAAACTTTATTTGAAAGCTCCTTTCTTTTTCTTCGATTTTGGTATGAGTTCTCCTCAAAATCTTCACTTTTTGCCTTTCTTAAATTTCTTGTATTCTTTACAAGTATACCCAATATGGTAGGGTTTAACTTTGCATTTGATTCAGAAGTTCTCCTCACACGCATTTCATCGAACTCTCCTCTTAGCATAATGCTTAGCTGCTTTATTTAGATAATGTATTGCCATTTTCATCCTTTACTGAATAATCTGTTTTGCTTTTGGTAAATTCGAACATATTGCCGCAGTCTCAGTGGACTAACGAGTAATCTATAGAATGTTAAGCACAGAAAGTGGGTTATTCACCTTCTCCGAGGATATTGCCAATGGCATCTTGTTGAAGCTTGTTATAGAAATCCTCCCCAAGGACGTATTTTATCTCATAATCTGTGATGGGCCCTCCACATTTTGGACAAGGCACTGTATCTTCTTTGCCGTATTTCTCTGTTGTAATTTGCTTCAAGCAATCGTGGCATATAATATGAGCACAATTTTCTAAGAAATGGATATCATTAGATTCTTCAGAATCAAATCATTCCTTTCAACCTTCTCAGCGCATCTTATACTCCTCTGGTTCTTTTGTTGTTGACTATAGATATCATCAGATATGTCCTAATCTGTATAAAAACAATGCTTCTCTTTTCTCTCAAACTAAAGACTTACAAAGCTGAATAATCTCGAAAAGAACCCTCCTGACTTCCTTGGCTGAGGAGACTCTTCATACTTGAACTCTTCATCTGAGCTTGAGCTGCTGACTACAGCTGCTTCTCAGATTTTGACATGCTTTTTGAACTTATTTCTTACTAAATTTCTCACCGCAGCCACATTTCCACTTCTTCTTTCCTTTCTTGGGCTGGGCCATGCCTAACTGGGGGATTGACTCCAAGTCTCGCTTTTCCATTTTCCTTCTTTATTTTTAATAATTTCTGATGAGAGAGGGGTTTTGGGGTTTTGGGGTTTTGGGGTTTTGGGG